CCTCAGGCCAACACAGCAAGTGTCACGCGCGCCCACAGCAACGCGCGCGCAGACCCTGACCCGGAAGACAAAGTTGCTGCCATCGGACTTAGCTCTACCTTGTAATAAACTAAATCCTTTTCATTGTAATTATAGGCTAGTTTACATCATTTTCATTCAGTGTGCTTCTACAGCTTTATTAGGACTAGTCATGTAATGTTGGTTTATTTTTTTTAAGCATTATTAGGGGGGATCAAACAATCAAACATTTTCAAGCAAGCAATTTTCTGTACTGGTGTCTCTCCCCCTCGACACCGCATCTTTTGTAATCAGCATTTCAGTCATCAATAAAATCATCATCATCATTCAAAACCCAATTCTCTCTCAGCTTTTGCAATTGCTTGTGACATTGGTTTTCCCGCACGGCACTGACAATCTAGTCTAGCATGCGGAGGGGACCTCATTGGCGGACAGCAAACGCACTGACATCGGTTGCTTAGCCTTTCGTTGCCCTTTCAAAGAACATCAGGAAAGCGTTGTGTAACAGTAGTAACGTCTGGTTTGGAAAAAGGAAGAGAGAGAAAGGTTTGAAAAGTGAGATTAAAAGATGGGTTTTGTTATTTTGTAATATTTTAAATTTTACCCCAAACTTTTTTTATTTCTAATTTGACCCAAATCACCCCTAATCCTGATTAACTAGTCGGCCCTTTTGTTAACGATAAAGGGTGCTAACACTTCAAACGTCTTTTATAACACATTTTTACGAGAGTCTAGGTCTTGCTTTTGAACGCCATGAGTGTGACGATCAGAGACTACGAATTGACCTTCAACAGTCACAAACTTTACGATGTCTATTTGGACGACACCGAAATCAACACCGTCGTCACTCGTGATCCCGGTATGGTGTGCACTTGGATCAACAACACCGAAGCTGCAAACGAATCCCGTCGCCACCGCTTGATTGTCGGGCTTGACATCGAGTGGGAGCCAAACTTCTACTCACAAAACCCCGTCGCCACCCTCCAACTCTGTGTCGGAAGAACCTGTCTTATTTACCAAATTCTTCACGCCCCCAGTATCACCCGCCTACTCCGCAACTTCCTCCAGAACGAAAACTACAGATTCGTTGGGGTTGGTATTGATAATGACGCGCAGAAGCTGTGGGACGACTATGGGATTCAAGTGTCGAACAGGGTTGATCTCCGGGGGTGGGCGGCAGAGGAGTTGGAGAATGAGAATCTTCGTAATGTTGGGCTCAAATATTTGGTGAAGGAAATCGTGGGAATAGAGATTGAAAAGCCTAAGAGTGTGACTTTGAGTGCTTGGAGTGAGCGTTGGCTTAGCTATGATCAGATATGTTATGCCTGCTTTGATGCTTATCTTTCTTTTCAAGTAGGGAGGTTCTTAAGTTCCACAACAATTCAAATTTGACTGCTTATCTTTCCTACTGGTATTTGATTCCAATTTACGTTAACTCTGTCAAAAAGTACAATTCGCTTATAAAGTATTCCTTGCTAACTTTACTGTTTAACTGATAAGATTAATGTTGGTTTACTCAACACACATAAGGAGGATTATCAAACTGTTGGTATATGCTTAGCATTAGCATAATGTTGGTATATGCTTAGAATTAGGGAGATGGAGTACTATGTCTCTGGCTCTCTGCTATGAGATTGCGCAACTGGTTTACTACAGTCTGCAGCAACCACATCTCAAGGTCTTTCACATCAAATTCCATTCAATCTTGCACTTTCTGAAACAATTGGATCATAGCTACATTGGATATTATGCAACTTTGAATTGCTTCAATTGAACAGATGATCCAATTTAAGCTTTGGGTTGTTCTGGCCTTGGCGTTTTAGTGGGTCTTCAATTCTACTCCAACCTTTTCAATTTATGTGGAGTAGTTTGACTCGAACAGAGTTTAAAAACAAGAAATTTTGTAAAACTTATGGTCTTCAACATAATAGTATAGTATTGGAATGGCTATAAAAATATTCAATTGCATGGGTTGGGGGTTGTCATGACCCATGATCCGAGTCCTGAGACCAGTCGAATAAAGGAAAGATTGCAAAGATACTAGTGACGGTCAGTATTAGTGTTTCACCAATCTCAGTTAAAGGAAATACCATGCTGGAGAGAAGAGAAGGCACTCAGGACAGGCAGCATTATGAACTATAACCAATTCTGGTAAAACTCCCAGTTGTCTCTGCAGTTTTCTTCCTTCTTCTGCAAATTCTCATGAACTTCTTCAAACCTTATTCAGTCTTCACCTTTCTTCTTGACTCTAATCTTCTTCTCCATCTCTGATTAAGTCATCCCTTGCGCCAGTAGTAATAGTTAATGTGCCTATTTGAAAGTTACTATAGCGTTCCATTCATTCTAGAGGAAAGAGTAGAGTTATAGGATTCTAGCTGAATTCTACTTAATCTGATATCATTGGTTGCCTTGCTTGATCGAAATAGTTTCTATATAGTGTACTGACTGATTGTTAGTTGCCCTCGAAATAATTTGTATAGAGAATTGATTTGTTGGTCGCTGTTAGTTCACTCATGGAGTGTCACATTCTGTTTCTCTCCAAAAGAAACGAATGACAAGTTTTACTTTATCCCTCAAGTTTTCAAGAAAAGTATGACTTCAATTGCGACCTCCCAATGGGTTGAATATGCAGTGTGGTGTTCTATTGGGATGGCAGGCTTTTAAAACTTTGTCGTAGTATATCACAACAGTGTTATAGGGTCCATCAAGATAGCAACACATTTAAGTCTAAAAGGAAGATGTAGATCAGGTAGCTTTGACACTATCATCAAACTTTAAAACCCATGCAAGTAGAAGAATTGCCATGATTTCGACAATATTAGGCGAGCTCAGCAATTCCGAATTCCTAGTTCTTAGCGAATAAAATCTGCTACATTCCATACAAGAGATTAAATTTTTTCATAGCTAAAAACTAATTCCATAAACCCAGTGTGATTCTCCCGCATCAGAGATCCAGCACTCACTAGCATTCCCTACACAAAAGATGCCATAAAAATCATACTGGTCTGCTTATAACAGTCATGCCTTGCTATCTATGCTCATCGGTTGTGGTTCCTTGGAAGCAGAATTCTGCAAAAAGAGAAGCGCATCATGAACTGGTCACCAAACATGATGGAGCTGCATAGACTCTAAAGATCACAAAGCTTGAAACTTACATTTGAGTTGACATCCAACTTATTTAACTTGGCAAATATGTTCCCATAGAATTTCGCATCCTTCTTATTGTATTCCTTAACTTTCTCCTTCAGAGCTTTGTATTCAAGTTTCACGTCCCTTGTCATCATAAAAAAGGTACAACCTTCAACACCATGAAAGAAATGCAATAGATTTGGACACCAAGTACAGCAGAAACAATACTATACCTGTTTGCAGGATCAATCTCAAGAGCTTTTTTAATGTCAAATTCAGCCAGATCAAAATCCACCATGTTAATATATGCTTGAGCTCTCCGGTAAAGAGCTTTAACATTTGTACTCTCGGTCTCCAACACCTAAAGACACAGATCATTAAAAAGGTAAAGCGGGGTCAACGAAAATGAAAAAGCCAGAAGGGGTATTCTGAATCTAATGGAACCTTGGTACACAGCTTCTCCGCCTGCTTGTAATCTTTCAGTTTCAACTTGCAAGCTGCGTTATTTAAGTTACAAGTGATCTTCAAAGCTTTTGACTGTTTCTTTTCCTCCTCGCTAAAGTTAGTATCATATTCAATAAATTTAGCAGCCTGCATTTTATTTAAAATTTTGCTGTTAGGCAAAACTGGATCAGAACCCAGCAATTAATTCTTTACTAAGTAGGAGCACCGTATGACTTGCATACCTTTTCGTATCTCTTTGATGCTCTTGCATATTTACCAGCCTTAAACAGCGCATTTCCTTCCTCTTTCTTTTTTCCGGCAGCCTCAATTTTCTCCGGGGTATTCATATCCCATGATTCCTTTTCCTACAGGCCACATTAAAGATATGAAAATACAATCAGTGGCTGGCAGAAAAGAGTTATTATATGAAAAATTATGTCATATGACATACCTTCACAAACGAAACAAGCTCAACCTCATAATACACAGTTGAATTGGGAGGAACAATACCCAAGTCTTGCTTTGATTCAGATGAACCGAAGGCATACTCGGCCGCAATTATAAGAAGTGCCACTTCACCCTTCTTCATTGACATGACAGCTCTATCTAGCCCATCGATAACTTGTTCTGTTCATGGCAGATCAGCAGTGAGTGCAATCAAATAAGGAATTACAGACAACCAAGAAAAACACCAAATTATAATGACAATGAAGTAGTCAGGATGCATACCTTCATCTGTCTTAAACTCGAAAAGGTCATCTTCATTTTCTCCATCGTGGCCCTTCTTTAAAAAGACTGTGCCATCTTGCAGCTTGCCAATCAATTTCACTACAGGAGGCCAATTCAAAGGAATAGTCACATTATCGTGTATTTAAATTAAAAATTCAGATGTCTGCAACACAATAGTTAGTCCTGAGTAACTAACATTTAACCACAGCTCCTTCATTGGGTTTTTCATATCCTTCCCCTTCTTTCAAGATCTTCTTTATAACTTTCTTATCATCAGTGACACTTGAGACAGTCTTCCATGAGACTAACTCCAAGTTAATTTGCAGAGTAGCATTAGGTGGGACAGCTCCTCCATCAGTAGAGGCAGGTTTACCTTTCTCCCCAAAGCCATCTGCAGAAAACAAATTAGACATGTTATTGACACAGCTTTAACTACATACAAGAATGTTTCTTAGAAGAACCACTTACATTGTGGCTTCACAGTCAACTGGACTTTTTCTCCTTTCTTCATAGTTTTCACAGCCTTTGCAATAGCCGGGCAGAAGTGTCCTGTCCCAATAAGAGTGTTAGTGCACGATAGTGCATCTATAAACCTTGCAAACAAGGTGCTACTATGAAATCAAGGGGTTACCTTCCTGAACAGCAAACTCCACTCCATCTGATTTTCCAATCAATGAGCCATCTTCAAGCCGAGCTTCATACTTGACTGAATAAAAAGATCAAAGGAAATGCTCACTCAATGCTCCAGTACATAAATACACTCAGACCTCTGATGAAACTAAAAAACAATAGATACCTAGAACTTCGTCAAGATCCTTGGGGTTTTCCCATTTCTCTCCCTCGGTAAGGATCTTCTTGAAGATACCACCATCCTTGCAGATGTCCTTTACACTCACCCATGATAGCAGTTCAACATCGAATTGGAGAGTGGCATTTGGAGGGATAGTCGGAGGAGAACCAGACTCCCCATAAGCCAGCTCTGGAGGAATGGTGAAAATGGCATTTTCACCCTTTTTCATTGTCTTAATACCTTGATCCCATCCCTTAATTACTTGTCCTATGAGGAAAGAACGGCAGCATCAGCAAAACATGCAACAATATATCACACATCTTGATTCACAAAACAGAGATATGTCGATACATGACAGTTCCTCATAAAGAAAAAGTCATAACTTCTTGGTTTTAATAGGGCTTTTATTAATCAATAATCTCCAGTAACTAGTAAACTTATGAAGGAAACCAAATTCAAAATCATGAATAACTTACTCACAAATCCAACTGTACATATTCTTTTCCGAATACACACATGCATGGAAACACATGTACACACATGCATATGTGAGTGTGAATATCAACTCTCAATCTCTCACAGATATATTGTATATGCGTGCATATGCAGTAAACATCAATATACATGCTGCTGTATAACTATTTCAGATTCTCATGAACAACTTCCGAATCATATAGTATCATAAGGCTCCGTAATTATATGGTCTTAGTGCAAGCTCCTTGCACATCAATGAGAAAAACAAACTGACGGTATCAGTATATTTAAAAGTGAAAAGCTCAAGAAATTCACAAGGTCCATTGGTCGCGAAGCAAAAAGCAATTCTTTGAAGTGAAGCGCACCATCACAACATTAGGAAGAATACTAAACATATGTGAATTTGGTAATATAATGATTAACTTGCAATTAAGATAATTAATTTGTATCTCCAATATGCAATAATGATACCCACATACTCAAGTTATAGTGATCCTATTCGCATCATTATTTGAAGCACACATTTAAACCAAGCGCATGGGATATCCCTTCGCATCATTATTTGAAGCACACATTTAAACCAAGCGCATGGGATATCCCCTCACACCATTATTTAGACCAAGCGCATGGGATATCCCTTCGCATCATTATTTGAAGCACACATTTAGACCAAGCGCATGGGATATCCCTTCGCATCATTATTTGAAGCACACATTTAGACCAAGCGCATGGGATATCCCCTCACATTGAGGGGACAACAGGAAGGCTCTTCATAACATTGGACGGAATAGACAAATCAGGCCCTCTTGATGGCTTGGTACAAGGTTAGCTTGCAAGGAAGTCCAGCACTAACACAACGTCATATTTCTTAATACTAGAGGACTTCGATAAAATATTCAATAAATGTTTTAACTCATTGATTTTCA